ATCCGATATCGGCCAAGCGGCTCATCATGTTGAACGTGTGAGTGCTGTAAGGCTATGGCACAAATAGCCATTGAGCTGAGTGGTCAAAAGTGGCCTCGGTAGCGTAATAGGGAACGCAACTGCCCGGTAAGCAGAAGATGCGGGTTCGAATCCCGTCCGTGGTCCGACTTTTGCCCATAACTCAGCATTCTTGTGATAGCTTTCGGATCGCGTACTGCGGCGTTAAACAGCAGTTATCAAACAATAACAACTCATCATTGCCTGTGGTTAAGCCCAAAATCCCTCCGCAATTGTAATCTGTACTCTGCTACCTCCATTCACGTGCTATTCGTGGCTCAAACACCCCGCAGCCCCCGGCCTTTGAAGAGGCCTATCTATCTCTGTGACATAGCAAAAAATCCCTGCAACCCCCCCCCCTTGCCCACTTGCCCGCGCTGAAGCAGCTCCCGGTCGTCTTTCCTTGTACAAGTAGTCCAGCCTGCATCTCGGAGATTATCCCATTTTTGCGAATCCACAACGAGTGAGAAGGGTGCTACAATCGGCCAAAGTCCTAGTTTGTTCTGACACCCTCTTAGTTGGACCGCCCACCTAACGAACATGCTCTTCATAGCCAACGCAGCGGCACTCAGTTGCTGTTTGTTGAAGCGGCGGGCATGGCATATAGCAGCGGGCGCGTGCGTAAGTTGCTTACTGTGATATTAGTTTCGAATGCGACTTTATCGGAAGTTACGTCCTTTTGCGAGTTTTGCCCTTTTTTGTTTCCCTTTTCTTTTCTTTATATCGAGTGGCGTTTAGTACTGGGAAATGTTTAAAAAAAAACGAAAATTGATGTGCCAGGGGTGCGCAGAAACCGAATGGGGGGGGGGGGGGCAGACGGGTGCGTTCTGATCCCCGCCAGTCCGAAGAACTCGTACAATGAGGCTGTGTGACTGTCCGGGAACAATTTGCTTTATGATTTTTTCGACTGGGATTCTTTTTACTCTTTCCATCCTTCGGTGGATTACTTGTCAGCTACTGTTCATAAATGAACAGCTACTATCCATGATATACAGGGCGGGGGGAGCCAAAAAAAAGTCACTTTGCTTCATTGACTTTCGAGGACGCTATAAATTACACCTCTAATAAATCGCTGATGCGCGGAACGTTTCTACAGCTGATTGAAGAGCATATTAAATACTATTATGACACTCCGCCACAGCCTTCTGGAGGAGCGCCATCGAGAGATTCTGGCACGCAACCGCGATGTGGTCCCTGAGATCAGCGAGATAGTCGATTTCTCCGCCACCGTAGACCACCCTAGTGAACTCCGCCCGAACCGGGTAATTGAGGGGATTCAGGTCAGGTGACCTACTTGGATATTCCATCTTCTTCAGGTACTCAACGCCCTTCCATTACAAGTAGGCAAGAGTTACTCAAGTTGCCCTTCGATTTCATGTGGTGACACCGAATGCTGGAGCAGTACAAAGTTTCAAAAGATACCCGGCTTGCGAACTGTGGTGGGTTATTCTCATTCGAGTTTAACCGCCAGCGCTCACCTTCAGTCCGGGGATCCACGAAGAAAATATCGGTCTTTCCATATCAGGTACGTCCGGTCCATACCATCAGCCCGCGCCTTGGCGACTGTGGTGGAGATGATGTCCTAAAACCGTGGCGACAGCTGCTCGATGTTGGAGGTCTTCCAGATTGAGAGTACTGGTCTCCAGGTAGCTACCCATGGGTGACTCCACACTAGAAGTTTCGCAGCTGTTTGGAGGTGACATGAATTCCAAAGGTCTTCTCCAGTCAGGCTGCGACTGGAGATGACCTCATATTTGGTGTACATGAAGGTGATGGGCGAGGGCCAGCTCCTGCTTATCGAGGGAACACCTTGGGTATTTCCGCCCTAGTACTCGTAACCACGTCTTCTCTCCGGGCTGAGAAAACTTTGCTGATATGTAACTTGGTCGAAGTAACTTTTTTTTGGCCCCTCCTGTACACTTAGTTCGCTGCGGAGGGTTGGGCATGTGAAGCAGTATGAGTATGTCACGCTGTCAAAACCGTTCTCTTCCTTCTTGTTGTAACGCGCATGTGGTAAAAAGTGGTAGAAAACGAGTAATACGTACGATATGATATAGTCACATCTCTAAACAACTGTTGGGGACGGGTTTGAC